AGCTGACTGGGAAGGAGGGATGAACTGGGGATAAAATGAGGATGGTTTTGAGGCAGCACAAGTGTCCACATCCCTTCCAAGGGAGAGCTGTGGTTTGTGGTTTGTGACACAGGATGTAAAGCCAATGGAGATTTGGTTAAAAAACACTTAATAGTGATTGGTAGGACACCAAAAGATGGGTTTCAATGGGAAATCAGTTCCTCATGCTGTCAGGTAATGAATTAGGCCTGGCCCTGGTTTTTCCTGCTCTCTCCCAATCCTAGAAATGCTGCTGCAAAGTGTCTGGTTAGAGACACCAGCAGTGAGGGATTTGCCCTTGTAGCAGGGAGCTCCAGGCCCTGCTCTGCGTCTCCCTGGTGCCTGCTGGCCCTGGTGGCTGTGCCCACAGCAGTTTTTGTCCCCTGTTGTGCAGGCTGGCAGTGAACAACGCCACCATGATGGGCACGGTGCTGAAGATGACCGACCGCAGCCACCGGCAGAAGCTGCAGCTCAAGGCTCTGGACACGGTGCTCTTTGGGCCTCCTCTGTGTGAGTACCAACCCCACCTGCCAGCCCTGGCAACCACCCCCAGGGCCACCAGAGCCACTTCTGGGCGACACAGAGTGCCCAGCACAGCCTCAGCCAGGGGAGTCGTCCCAGCACAGATAGCCTGGAGCAGGAATGGTTGGTCCTGGCTTTGTGGGAGCAGCTCTGTAGCCTGGAGCATTCTGGGCTGGCATTCCCAGTCTCAGCTGGCATCTCCCACTGTGCTGCTGGGATGTCCTGTGTCCACAGGGTAAAACCTGCTGCCCCTCTGTAGTGCTGGAGGGCAGCAATCCTATCCTGCCTGCTCCCAGGGCAGCTGCTGCCATGTCCTGGAGCTCTGTCAGCATCTCCTGGGCTTTGCTGGGGCTCCACTGTCCTGTCCACCAGCAGAGGCTGGTGACTCAGGCTGTGAACTACCCACCTCTGGAGGAGGGGAGGGGCAGCAGGCTGGATGGGAAGTTTAGGGTGGTGCTGGGAGGCCTGGGGCTCCTTTGATGCCTTATCAGCATCTCAAGCTCTTTGATGTGTGTCTCCATGCTCCAGGTGCTCCCTCTGGCTCCTGTCTGCTCCCTATTGAAGGTGCTTTTGTCTCTCTGCTCCTCTGGCACGGCTTTCTCTGGGCTTTGGGTGCAGAGGGGTGGAACCCCCCTTTCCTGCTGCCCCTGCTGGGGGATTTTGGGGTCCCAGTGCTCATGGCTGGGGCATGTGTGGCCTCTCCCACCCCAGCACCCCCAAGTCCTTCTGCCCAGGGCTGCTCTCCAGCCATTCCCACCCAAACCTGGGAAACTGCCTGAGCAGTGTGAGCCACAGTGTGAGGCTTGGCAGAGCCACAGGGAGCACATCACAAGCCTGGCTTGCACAATCAGCCATTTTTGCTCACAGTTATTGAAAAGCCTCTTTTTGCACAGGCACAGTTTGGTGTTTATTTATTGCCTGTGGTAAATGTGAAGCTTTTTGATGCCTGGGTGGCTCCAGCCCAGCGACTCCTGTGCTGGGGGCAGAACTTTTGCAGAGCTGTTGTGCTGTGTAAAGGGCAGAGTGAATGGCTTGTACTGGCTGGCAATTAATGGCTGTTGCCACGCTGGAGCTGTTTGTTCTGCCCTGCAGCTCCCTGGCCCTGCAGCCTGGCCCTCCCTGGGCACAGAGATCAAAGTGTGCAGGGAGCCGTGGGGCTGCTCACACCCTCTCAGCTCCTGCTGGCGGCTCTCCAGGCCAGCCTGGGCTGCTGGGAGGTGTCCCTGCTCACAGCACCTCTCAGGAGGTGGAGTGGGATGAGCTTGGAGGTGCCTCCCAACCCAAACCATTCCATGCTTCTATATCCAGGGTGTGTTAGAAGTGGAAATACACTTCAAATCTGCAGCTGAAGGAGAGATTGATCCCTTTTCAGAAGGCAAAATTGGCTGGTGTCTCGTCACCTGAATGGCTTTGTCTCCACTCAAGGGGAGAGGTTGTTTATCTAAACCAATTCCTGCAGGAATGGATTGCACAACACTTTCAGGAGCCAGCAGCGAGTGGCAGCGTGGGCAGTGCTCAGTGACCTTCCAAGCTGCAGAAGCTGCTTTACCTTCCTTGCCATGGTCAGGGGAGGTGGCTCTGGAGGGGAGCTGGGCTCTGGGGGTCTCTGAGCTGCTGGCAGGGGGATGTGGTGCACAGGTGCACAGTTCCAAGGGTTTGTCTCCTCCCTTGAAGCTCTGTTCACCACAGGTGTAAAAGCTTTGATAAAAGCAGCCTCAGTTGGAGCCGCAGGCCTCCTGCAGGCTCCTCAATCCGGACATGCTGCCCATGGGGATCACAGCAGGGGGACACAGTGCTGTTCCTGCTGCTGGGGGAAGCTTTCCCAGCCCAGGGCTCCGGGGGTGGGTGTCTGGCTCGTGGCAGAGGTTCCTGCCAGATTCCATGGCCAGTTTCCATGTGGATCTGCAGGCTCCTGCCATCTCTCCAGGTCTGGTTCCTGCTGCCAGGCTCCAACCCTGCCATTTCCTCCAGCAAACAGGTCTGACCACTTCAGCTCTGTAATTAATCCAAGTGCAAGGGAGCATGGTGCAATTATAATCTAAGCAACATGAGATGATTCCTTCTGTGTCTGTCCCTTTGGGGTCCTGTTCCTG